TAATTCTATAACCAATTATGAACAAAATCCACGAGGTGACTGAAAAGATGTTAGTTTTTGTTTTTAAATGAATACTTTAAATTATAATTGCACTAGACAGTAACAGAAGCTATAAAAATTGTTTTACTTTGCCATCAAATGTTTAAACTATTATTTAAAGTGCATTTGAAGTAATTAAACGCATTGTAGTTTCATGCGATAAAAATATTTAACAGATTTTAGAGTTACTGAGTTTTGCAAATATCACCAGCCGCATCTAATCGTAGGGTAAACAAAGGTTTATTTTACTTTAATATTTCCTCCAAAGCGTTGGCCGAATCCATGGTCATTGGTCGTGATTAGAAGTCGTCGTAATAAACGTTTTGTCGTTTGGCCAATGGCCAACAGTTGTACATTAAACAATGCCGTTGATAATTTGCACAATTTGTAATTGCCAAGCGATCGCAGTGCGAAATGTTTGTCAAACATGCCACGCCCCCCGCCTGTCAGTGGCCCATGCGGCGTATGAGTGATGGATGAGGGCTGATGGTTGCAGGGGCTTTAAACTAAGACCCACTCTCTGGAATTCCGTATCTAAATTGAAAGCTTCCTTCCGATCGAAACCAGCCAGATGTTTCATTACCCAACCGTTTCAAGTTCAAATACATAAAGTTGAAAACGCAGAGTGATATGAATTTTCACAAGGTCGATGGTCATTTCGATGGACAATAGACTCCGATTTGGTTAAAAATGCGATGGGAAAATTTCAACAAAAATTCATACACTTAAGAGATGAAAAATCAGACCCGCTGACTATATCATTTTGGTCAACCGCAGGGGGCGTCTTATTAAATTATAATCGAATGCCTTTGGCTATCTCACGTGATTAGCTTTTGTCTGCATTATATTGTGTATTAGATCATATCATATCATATGCCCCCTGCCACCCACACAATCCCATAATGCAGACGAGATAAATATGCAGGGACTTAAGACATGTTTCTTCATTATTTCTTCTTGTATTTCTTGTATCTTGTGCGTCTTTTCGTTTTCCGTTGTGGAATTTCATGAGATGATAAATTGGCCACCGATTCGTACGAGGTGGCAAAGAGCCAACAAACGGCGGCCAGCAGTCGCTTTGCATAAATTTATGAATCAACAACTCATTTTGACGCCAGGCGAGGGCGAGCCATAAATTAATTTGTTGTCCAATTAGTTTGAGACATGTGGAGCAATCATCGGGATTTCCCGCCGCTAGATAATCATTATCTGTCGACTATCAGTTAATTATGTACCGCTAATATGCATATCACACTCTTGGTTCCGAAAATGGCTTTGCTAAAAAATGGCTTTGGTAAAAAGTGCCAAAATAGTTTGCTGTTAGATTAATTAAATGCCTGTTAAATGGAAGCCAATATTTATTTGTCCAAACACAACATATATCTACAGTGAATTAATTAACACATATCTACCAAAACAATAGAACCCCCAACCTTGACACACTGACTAGAAATTATGGCTTTTAATTTGTTTATCGAACAAACTTATCTTTTTACATTTGGGAAATAATGTTTAATGCAACTTTACAAGCAAATTTGGGTTGGCACACTCTTGTTTTAATGATCATCTATGGGTAAAGTTGCGTTTAGATAAAAACTTTCAAATTGTAAGGATTAATTATGATTTCTTCAAAATTTATGTGCAAGCTTAAAGAATATTTTGATCTTCCATCCTTAAATATAAATAAGATGATAATAATGAAATATACCCTTAAAAGATGTTTAAAAAAATAAAGGTATTGTAAATGCTCGCCTGCTATGATATATATAAATATTAAAATATAAAATATTGGGTGATTTCAACATGTTTTACTTTTAAAAAAAGAGTTAAAAGCAAAGCAAATTCTATTATTTTAATATTTTTTACTGTAAGGAACAGAATTTTTGTAAGCAAGTCAATTTAAATTTTCATGATTTCAGCTACACCAAATACACAGTGCAACATGGTGACGAGGATGCCTTCCGGTACATGGTGGATCTGCAGACGAACGACGCGGAGCTGGACTTCTGGCTGCTGACCAGGAACTCCTCGGTGCTGACGGTGAGCCCCAAGCGGAAGAACCAGTTCGAGGCTCGCCTCTCCAGTTTGGGAGTCAACTACGAGATGCAGCCCCTTATGGAGCTGATGGCCGCCCTTCAGGCCAATAGCTCCTATGCCGAGGATAACTACGGTGGGGAGTATGAGGAGTGCCAGCAGGAGGATTGCGAGGAGGCGGATCGTCCACATCGAAGGACTCGTCGCCAGGCCCGCGGCTTCTTCTCGCACTATCCCCGGTACCACGAGGTCCTCAGCTTCATGAGCGGTTTGGCCTCCAGATATCCGCAGTACTGTCGCTACGAATCTCTGGGCCGCTCCAATGAGGGTCGTCACATAGCGGCTCTCTCGATTTCCCTGAACAGCAGGGTTCGATCCCGCCGAGTGGCCTATATTCAGGCAGCCACCCACGGCAGGGAGTGGATCACCACGCAGACGGTTCTCTATTTGGCCTACGAGCTGCTCACCAATCTGCGGGCCTTCACAAGGGTCCTGCAGGATGTGGAGATCTTCCTAGTACCTCTGGTTAACCCCGATGGCTATGAATACACCCACACGACGGTGAGTAAATAATATATTAAATAATTAATACTTTTGGAACAAATAATCTCTATTTGATTTAATAATGATTCTTGTACAAAAATACAGTATCAATATTTTTGACAAAAACTTTTGTTTATCAAAAATAATGCTAATTTTATAAGATTTTAAACTTTGCTTAACTTATATATTTTTATTGCGCAATGCAATAAATAACTAACGTATTCACATATGCAAAGGCAATACAAAAATAGTTCCTTGTAAAAAAGTAGAAATTGAATATATCTTATTAGAAAAAAAATATATCACAAAAATATATCAAAGAGTAAAAAACATGTGTTGAAAAAGACTTCCTCATTTATCATTAAGTACCTACATATACGCTTTAATATCCATAAGAAACTGAGGGAAAACACATTAATTATGTTAGAGAAAAGTGGCACTTTAAATGTGTTTAAGTGTCAGGGGACTTAAAATGAATTGTAAATGTTTTTTAAATGTTTGGGTATGTAGTACATATAAGTACTTATGTACTATGTTCTGATAAAATTAAATTAGCTAAATCTGTTAATATAATATTTATTTTACAAAAATCTTTTTCAGGATCGTTTTTGGCGCAAGAACCGTCATCGTTATGCGGGTCATTCCTGCTCCGGCGTGGATATCAACCGTAACTTTGGAAACCACTGGAACTACCAGGGAGCCAGTCAAAACGTAAGCCACTTGTTGACCCCGCCTGTGACCTTCGCCATTGACCCTCGTTTGTAATCCCCAAATCCATTCCATGCAAAATTTCAGCTCTGCTCGGAGGTTTACTCGGGCACAGCGCCCAATTCGGAGCCGGAGACCTCGGCCGTGGTGCGATATCTGGAATTCAATCGAAACCGTGTGAAACTCAGCCTGGATGTTCACTCATTTGGCAAATTCATTTTTTATCCCTACGGCTATGCGAAGTGAGTATGGGCGGAAAGTGCAGTCTCCCTGATTTCCATGTTCCATGTCCGAAAATCCTCGGCTGCGGATGAAGGCCTGGCCAGCGGGTGGCCCAGAAAGAAATTCAATTTACTTTTCAATTATTTGCTAAAAGCAATTAAGCCCGAATATTTCTACCATTGCATCCATTTAATTCTTTTTTATTAGCACTGTTCAAAAAAATTTTGAGGTTCTGCTTAAGTATTTTTTTTGTCCAACTTGTAAGTCCGTTTTCGTGTCCGCATTTTAGGTTGTAGTAGTTGGTAGTGGGTTATAAGCAAGTTTGGAGTTGAAATCTAACTTAAAGTTTAACATACGGAAGAGATAAAACCCCTTAGTGCATCATGAGAACGGGAAAATTCTTTTTTTACAGTTTTAAATTTTTACCTAATTAAATAATTATGCTGGACAATGTAAACAACTACTTTAAATAGTTTTGTTGTCTAAGACTTTATATAATGATTGTAACCCCCATTAATTTTGTTTAAATAATAATATTTAAAATTAAAATATTTAAATAAGAAATATATAATATTTTTCTCTGTGCAGAAACACCGTGCCACCCACCGTGGGAACGCTGCGTTCGGTGGCTCTGAGGGCCGCCAACCAGATCGGCAGGTACCGCGGCACCCGCTACACCACCGGCACCTCAGCCTCGATTTTGTACGAGGCCTCCGGCAGCCTGGACGACTTCGCCTATGGCAACCTGGGAATCCCTCTGTCCTACACGCTCGAGCTGCCCGGTGACGAGTTCCACGTGCCCGCCCACGACATCATCCACGTCTGCAAGGAGACCTTCGCCGGCTTCATCGAGTTCATCCGGCACGTCAGCCTCTACTAAAAGAGGCTCCTGCATTTCCTAAGCTGTTTAAGCAATTGAATTTATTGTTTGTTTAATTTAAAATAATTAGTGACCTCGTTGTTAAGCATTAAAGAATTGAATATTGAAAAAAACAATTTAATTTGCAATACTTATTTTACTAACTAAGAGAAATAATTTCCTTGAAAATTGCGTCTGTGCATTCTATCATATGTTTTTGTATAGCTCACTGCCTAATAGAAAACAGAATTCCATTTATTAAAGTCTGTATGCCAAAAAAATCACTGAAACATATTTAAGACTTAAAAATGTTGTTAAATATTGACCTACTGATAGAGAAAAAAGTTGGGGTTGAATTAAATTCAATTTTATTGTTTAAATGAAGTGGAACAAGTTTATTTTAAAGCTTTTTTCAAACCCTGAGAACAGAAAGGGGAACTACCTCTTTTATGCCATAAACGGAAGCATATAACCGAACCACCGTTTTGGTATCGTAAGCAGGCGGCAGCGTCTCCAATAAAGTGATAAAAATAGGTTATGAGATTAGCATTGACACTTGTTTTAAGTCCAGTCAATATCGGACTTTTGGACAACAATGACTTCGCCGCTCTTGGGATTACTTACCCTACTGCTATTGCAGCCATTGGATCTTTTCGCTTGGCAGGATTACAAGGACTACAAGGTGTATGAGCTGAAGTTTCAAAGAGTGGAAGATCTAAAACTTATAAGAAAATGGTCTAAGGAAAACCCACTTTGGGATTTTATCGGACCAAATCGGAACGAAGTGGGGTCACGATGAGGGATCCTCTTCAGATCCCTGCGAGGATAATTATCGCGGTGAGAGACCATTCGACCAACCCGAGTCGCAGGTTCTGCGAGATGTGATGCTCCATTATAAAGGACGTCTTAACTTTTATCTCTCACTCCACTCCTACGGAAACTTATTACTTTTACCCTGGGGTTATACAAGGTAGGTGAAAATGGTTGAACTCGAATAGATCGTTTTTATTTGGTGCAAAAAGTACAACGATACGTAATCAATTTAGCTCAAGTGGCCTAAGCAAAAGAGTTCTTCAATTTTGAATTTGTTCATAGCCTTCATGTGTCTATTGGTTGCGCAATGGATAATAAAGAATTAATAAATTATAAACTCTTCTGTAATTGATAAAGAAATAATTTATGGAAACTAACGCTGATAGCTTTATCTGGACTAAAAGTAATTCCCAAACAGACGTAACCTTACTACCTGAGGAAAAACCAAGATTTTATTGTTGTTCTATTTCGATTGTTATATTGCTTTTTGGGAAAAATATAATTGGTTTTTACTATTCTAATAATATTTAGGATAATTTTGTTGCCAAAAACTAAACTTTTTTTTAATTTCAGTGACTTTCCCGATCACTACCAGGACATGATGTCCGTGGCGGATGCTGGCGCCAAGGCGATTGTGCACTCCACCAATGGGATATATAGCTACGGCAGTACTTACTAGGTTCTATATCCGACATCCGGCGATTCGGCAGACTTTGCTCTGGGAGTGGTGAATGCCACTGTGGCCATGACCACGGAGCTGCCGGCTGCTGGATTCCTGGGATTCGATCCCTGGGTTTCCCAAATCGAGCGATTGGTTACGGAAAGTTGGGTGGGAGTGCGAGCCATGGCCGCGGAGGTGATAAGGCGTTATCCGGCGTAATCGGGCTGTAAATAAAGAGACATTAGCGTTGAATTGCGCCAGCTCTGATTTGCTGGTCATCCGGGCGGGAGTTTTGGAGTGCTTTATTATTTATTGATCCATTTGGCGATTAGATAGGTGACTTTGTCTAGCTATTTAAGTGGCTCGGCACATCCACGCGGTTGCTTAGTCTGTTCGAAGATGAAGTTGTCCGTGGGTTTGTTATTAGTCTTCCTGAGCGCCGCTCTTGTGGCTGCCGATCAGGATTACGAGGGGTAAGTATCGAAACAGCGGAGCTCTACTGGTTCTGACTGAATGTTTGCACATTCAAGAAGGTTCAAAAGAAGGTTTAATTAAAAAAAAAAAGAATGGTTTCCAATGTCTTTTACGATATTTTACTGTTCAATGTTTGTTTAATAATGGTTATATTTAAAAACAAATACCTTGACTTAATAATTAACAATAAATAAACCTCTTTTTTAGTTACCGCATTTATGATGTGATTCCTTCGAATGCCGACCAGGCTAAATTGTTGCACCAGCTCAGTCTCCAGGGATTTGATTTCATCGGTGAGAGTCGTCTGTTGGGACATCCCTCCCGGGTGATTGTGAGTCCTGAACAGTTGGAGAAGTTCGAGCAGTTCGTTGAGGGAGAGAAGATCACCAACAGTCTAGTGAACTCCAACCTTGGAGCTTCCATTGCCGAGGAGTTTGCCCAGCTGCAGATGCAGCGTCTACTGGCTCCCATCACGGGCAAGGGTCGCTTGAGCACCGAGCGCTATTACACCCACGAGGAGATCATCAACTATATCGATGACCTGGCCGAGCGTTTCCCCAGTCGAGTGTACGTTAGGACCGTGGGCTGGTCCTACCACAAGCGAGTTCTGAAGACCATCACCGTCACGAACGGCGATGGCAGGTCCGGCAAGAAAGTGATCTTCCTGGATGGCGGTTTCCATGCCAGGGAATGGATTTCTCCAGCTGCGGTTCTGTACGTCATTGATCAGTTGGTGGAACAGTTCGAGGAGAATGCCCATCTGCTGAAGGACTACGACTGGGTTATCCTTCCCATGGTCAATCCCGATGGCTATGAGCACACCCAGACCGGCACACTTGCCCGCATGTGGCGCAAAACCCGTCAGCCGTATAAGTCGGGTACAACGACCTGCTATGGAGCGGATCCCAACCGGAACTTTGACTTCCACTGGAACGAGGAGGGTGCTTCCTCGAACCCCTGCGCAGATACCTATGCCGGTCCCACCGCCTTCTCCGAACCGGAGACGATTGTCGTCCGGGACCTGATGCACTCACTGTCGGACAGGGGTGTGATGTACCTCACCATCCACTCCTACGGAAACTATTTGCTGTATCCTTGGGGATGGACTTCGTAAGTCAATTTTACAAATACCTTACCTAACCTTAGTATATATTTATTAATTTCTAGCGATCTGCCCGAGAACTGGGAAGATCTGGATGCAGTAGCCAGCACTGGAGCTGAGGCCATTAAGAGCGCCACTGGAACGGAGTACACCTACGGATCCTCCACCAGAGTTCTGTACATTGCTGCTGGAGCCAGTGATGATTATGGTTACTACGCCGGTTTCAATATCTCCATCACTATGGAACTGCCAGGAGCTGGCAGCATTGGATTCAATCCTCCAGTCACCCGCATCGATGAGTTCGTCACCGAAACCTGGATTGGTATCCGTGCCATGGCTGAGAAACTGATCGAGATGTACTAAAAAAGTTCAATAGTTTCCCATAAATGACAATAAATATAAAATAATTTCGTTATAATATAGAAATGATTTCTTTGTTAACAATTTGTTTGTTTGACAATAAGTTTTAGTAATTCTTATCAATAGACATTACATAGTTGATGCATTCAATACTTTAGTTCAGATAAACAGATGGTAGGTATGTTAACCTTGTTGTCTAAGTGATTGCATAAGAGAACAAATATCCAATCAAAATCGAATTAAATTCACTTATTTTTTCAGAACGTAATTGGGAACGACACTGATAAACGCCCGTTATTTTTATTGTCAGCAATCATATTCTCCAATCGATTTCTCTTGATTTTACAACCTTCCATATAGCTCGATTTGATGATAACGATATGAGATTGCTGTTCGTGGAAGTTTCTTTGATAGCTTGAAATGTGTATTGCTCAAATAGCTGGCGACTTTGAAAGATGACAGTTTGGTGGCTTTTGCTGGCTCTCAGCTGTCTGGGCTTGTCTGCTGGACTGCAGAAGTCCAATAAATACGAAGGGTAATGTATTGAATCCCCTATACTAGATAAATCCCTCTTCTAAACAGTGAAATTTTTTAGTTACAAAATATACGAGGTGTCTAGTAAAGCTCGTTCGGTGGCTTTAGAAGAAGCTCTTTCCGAATTGGTCAAGAATGCATCTTACTATGAGGTGTTCTCGGGCTTCAAAGGCGGTAATTCGGCCAAGGTGATGGTGCATCCCGATGAGCAAATAAGCTTTGTGAAACTGATGGATGATAACAATGTGGGCTATGATATTCTCAACCGGAATGTGGGCCTCACTTTGAGTCGGCAATTCGAAACGAACCGCATGTTGCGCCAATGGTTTCCCTACAACGGAAGATTGGGAACGGAGAGGTATTACAACCACGATGAGATCAACCAGTTTATCGAGGACCTGGCTAAGGAAAATCCCCGTCGGGTTTTCCTGAAAACGGTTGGCAAGAGTTACGAGGGTCGATGGTTGAAAACCGTCACTATAACTAATGGAGATGCCAGGCGTAATAAGAATGTGATCCTTGTGGATGGTGGCTTCCATGCTCGGGAGTGGATCTCACCAGCAGCTGCAATTTATCTGATCTCTCAGCTGGTCGATAACTTACAGGACAACGCTGATCTGCTGCAGGACTACGATTGGGTTATCCTTCCCGTGGTTAACCCCGATGGCTATGAGTACACCCAGTTGTCGGAGGAGACTCGCTTTTGGCGTAAGACCCGAAAACCCAGCAGCCCCGATTGCATCGGTACCGATCCAAACAGGAACTTTGATTTTCACTGGAATGAGACGGGTGCTTCGTCGGATCCCTGTAGTCTTACATATGCCGGAGAGAAGGCTTTCTCAGAACCTGAGGCTGTGGTGGTAAGAGATCTCATCCATAGCTATGTGGATCGTGGAAAAATGTACTTGACATTACATTCCTACGGTTCACTAATTCTGTACCCTTGGGGATGGACGGAGTAAGTATTATTTGTATTTTATATACATATATCATATATTATTAAGAGTAGAACACCTTTAATGAGATCCGGTATTTTCAGAGGTGTCCCCGATACCGTTGCCGACCTACATGAGGTAGCTGCAGAAGGTCAAAATGCTATTCTGGGGGCCACAGGCACTGAATATTTGATAGGACCTTCAACGACAATTATAAATTATGCTGCTGCTGGGGCTAGTGACGATTATGCCTTCAATGCTGGCTTCCCGATTTCCTTCACCATGGAACTGCCCGCTGGTGGTACTGGATTTGATCCTCCAGCTTCGGACATAGATCATTTAGTTAAGGAGACCTGGGTGGGCATTGCGGCAATGGCCCGGAGAGTCATTCAAAAATATCCCCTGGCCTAATCGTGTAATTCAGTTTATAACTTGCTTGACCACTATGACTTAACTCAATAAAATTGTTCAGTTCGTTAGCAAACTACAGTTATCGCCAAGATAACGTTTCTGTTAATAATTGCAGTTGAAACTTTATAAATATCTATAAACATTGTTCCGGATGCGATTAGAGAAATAAATAAACGTTTTTTGTTAGGTTAATTCCGAGACCGATCAGAAACTTGAGTGCACCCAACGTTGCAATATTAAAATGTAGGTATGCAGAGAAATATTTAACTTTAAATAAAATAAATGATTGTAATACTAAAATAAATAATTTTTTCTAGCTTTACACCAGATTTTTTTTGGGCTCCAGATAAATGAGAAATTATTACAGGCAACCCTGCATCAAGGGAACAACCAGCCTTTTTATAATCAACTTTTCTACAAACGGGTCCCTTGGTCCCCATTCTTGAAATCATTTCTTTCGGTTTCTAATCGCAATGCTTACAATGACGTCAATGCTTGGAGATCAGTGGCTTATGCCAGATTTTATCGGGAGGGTTTTCGATCTTAAGTGGGTGCACCAAAATGTTTTCAGAATTATAAACCCCCTCTGCGAAGCCAATCTCCACGATTTCTTTAGGGAATATAAGTAGTAATTCAGCTCCAAAGGCGTTGCTGTTTAAAATCAGTGGTGCTCCAAGCTATATATATCTGTAAAGTGGGCTTTTAGACGGTCAGTCGAGTTTTACTCTCCGCACACCACGTTCCTATTTCCAAAATGCTGAAGCGTTTGAACAAAGTGTTCTTACTTATACTTATTTTTCTAATGATCGTTAATAAGTCAATTGCGAACATTTCTAATTGCACTTTCTTTGATACTGTAGATCTTTCGGGTATTAAAAAAAAGAATCATGAATATGAGTATGGGGTAATGAAAATTCCGTTCAATCAAACGGGAAAATATAGTTATTTGAAGTTGGTAAACGGATCCACTGTGTCAACGAAAAGACATAGAAGAGCTTGTGTTTGTAAAAACAAAAGCTGCATCCGGTTTTGTTGCCCCCAAGAGAATAAATGGCGCCCTGGCATCTGCACCGATAGTCTGCAGAATGAGTATTTCAAAATGGAACCTATCATGAACATAACCTTCAAGGATCAGATAATCTTAAGGGACTATACCTGTGAAGATCTTAACATCCAATGGTACACATTTTTTGAGGTTTGCTTATCGGATTGTCATACGTGTGTTTTGCAGTCTAATCTGAATTATTTTTAGTAGGACGAAACCTTTTTACTTCAAGCCTTCGACTGGTCCTCAAATAAGGAGTTCCAAATCTTTAAACATTCATCGAAGTTGGTGCCGGCCGTGCGTGAGAGTAAGTAAAAATATAGTTTGTTAACTGCCTGTACGAATTTTTTACTTGTTCTTATTTTTAGTCGGTGAAATTTCACTGTTATGCTATATACTTACAATGGCTGTGTATCTATATGTGAAAAAGCTTCAAAATTTAGGCGGCAAGTGCTTTACTTGTTGCCTATTCTGTATGTTTATGAAATGCTTTTTCTGGGTGCTGAATTCTTGGAATTTACTGAAGAACATTCACTCTGTAGCAGGTTAGTTATATATCTAAATATGTTCAGATTTATTTTGTAATATTATTATTACCATACTTGTTACATGGAGAAAACAAGCTTAAGTTTTGGGAATATAAACTAGTATTAAAAAACAGGAAATTTGTACTTTTTAAAAGGTTTTGTTGTGAGGTTAGTTTTCTCTAAGTTTAAAAAAATGTGAAGTAATAAAAAAATTCTTAATTTCTTCCAGGTTATACGACTTACTTCTTTTGGATGGCTTCCTTTCTTTGGTTCTTTGTCTTAAATCATGTATTTTGGGAGAGTTTTGGGGGTGACAAAACTAAACCTCCCCGGTTTTGTTTCCAGACCTATTCAATATTTGTCTGGACTAGTGCGGCTGTCCTAACCATACTCATCTATCCAGTAAATTCTTTTTTGAAGATCGGCACACAGAACATGTGCCGGTATTTCGTTATCTTAGAGGATTGGAACTGGCTTCCCGGTATCTACTATGGACCAATGCTATTTCTGAGTATCTGTAGTATGATTTTTACAATCCGGACGGGAAGAACAATTCGAAAGCAATTAAAGGATCTGAAGAAATGCAACCCACTAGTGGATGTCACCAGGTTAGGTTTTATAGCATTTGAATTATAAAGAATAATCTTAATTATTTCCTGTCTTGATCAAAGTTCCTTAATGTGGTTGCGGTTGTGTACGATTTTGGGAGTTACTTGGAGCTTGGACTTAATAATCTGTACAATGCAGACTTATCGCTTTTGGCCACAGGTCCTGTGGTTGGGCGATTACTATCATGCGGCCTTTGGTATTCCCATTTTTGTGCTGCTTATCCTTAAAAGCAGCACTTTTCAGCTACTCAAAAAAGGGTGAGTCCATAATGAGAGAGTAATATGATTTCTTGACCTCATCTCTATCTCAGCAGGAATGGGGATAAGAATCAGCAAAAGCATCCAGAGGCCAATATAGCCGATACAGCCTGCTAGCCAAACAAAAAGTATATACGAATTGTCATTAGGTCAAATGTGGGGTAAGATGTGGCTGCAACCTGTTAAGTACCTTAGGTTTCTATAATTAAGTTTACAATAAACGAACAAATAAAATTCTAATAAATTTAATTTAATGTAAAAAACATTTTAATAATGTATAAATGTGCAATATTATGGGTACGATTTCTTGATAAATTCACTTATCCCCAATAGGCTTTTTAACGAGAAATGACCTAAGTACATTTTTCAACGTTTGATATTTTGATATTGGGGAGCATATTTATATAATTTAAATTCTTTCTTTCATCATCGCTTTTGCAATGGGTTCCTTAAAAAAACTGTTTTCCCCTTTTTCCCAATCAGTTTCATTCAGAAGTTTTAAGGATTCTTATGTTTAATCCGTACGATCTCTATGTGAAGAACAATAATAAGAGCACTTTTTCAACTTAAATAAAGTAGTTGAGGGCCTTCACAGCAGTTAATTTGGCTACTCTGGGTAGCCGTGATTATCTAGACCACCACTTCAAGTCCGTCGCACTTGATGAACTCAATTAGCAGACCGCGATAAGTCCGAAGGCTCCCGACTCGAGTGCCCCGCCCAGTGTGTCAATGCCGGAGCCCGAGTGATATGGCCCACCCGATGGGGCGAACGCCTATCTTACCAAGCGTTAAAATGCCAAGAACGGGAATAGAATTCCCAATTAGTCAGAAGACGACGCTTCGATTACAATATATCAATGGTGTTTATTGCACCCGCCTAGTATTTCTCAACAACTTTCTGGCCCATGGCCTTGATGCCCACCCAGGTCTCCTCCACGAAGGATTGGATCTGGTTGGTGCTCGGGTTGAAGCCAGTACCGCCAGCCGGCAGCTCCATGGTGATGGACACCGGGAAGTTGGCCACTCCGAAGGCGTAGTCATCGCTACCGCCGGCAGCCGCATACAGAACGTTGGTGGAACTGCCCACGGTGTACTTGGTACCGGTGGCTTTACTGATGGCATCCGCACCAGCCTGGGCCACCTCATCGTTGTCGCGCCAGCTGCTGGGAAGGGCACTACAGAGAATATTAGATGGATTAGAACTAGAGGGTTTTTTATAGAGAAAGGGAATACTTACGAGGTCCAACCCCAGGGGTACAGGAGGTAATTGCCGTAGGAGTGCAGGGTCAGGTAGAACTTGCCACGTCCGCTCAGGCTCAGCAGAAGATCGCGGACCAGCTGGGTCTCCGGCTCGGAGAAGGCCGTCTCGCCCCTGAAGGTATCGGAGCAGGAGTAGCTGGAGGCACCCACCTCTCCCCAATGGAAGTCGAAGTTGCGATTGGCATCGGTGCCATAGCAGGAACTGCTGATGGGCTTCCTGGTCTTGCGCCACATGCGGGTGTCCGTGTGGGTGTACTCATAGCCATCGGGATTCACCACCGGCAGGATGATCCAGTCGAAGTTCTTCAGCAGCTCCGAGTTGGCAGCAAAGTTCTCCACCAGCTGGTGTATCACATACAGGGCTCCGGCATGGGCGATCCATTCGCGGGCATGGATTCCAGCATCCAGGAAGATCACATTTTTGTCGGTCCTGCCATCGCCATTGGAGATGGTGATCGTCTTGATGTCCCGGTTCTCGTACGACTTGCCGGCCACTTGGACAGAGACACGGCTGGGATAGGCGGCGGCCAGTTCATCCAGATAGGCATTGATCTCTCCATGGCGATGGAAGGCGGTGAAGCTGATGCTGCGTCCAGCAGATCGCAGGTTCATCAGCCGCTGGTTCTGGTTTTCCTCGTGCTCCTGACGCAGCGCCACTCCGAAATCTTCACTGACCACCGAGAAGTCGACGTTGTACTTCTCCAGCAGGTGCTCGAATCCCTCCTGATCGGCGGGTTTTACCATCACGCGACTCGGGGCGTCCAGGGAGCGGGGCATGTCGAAGAAGTCGTACTCCTCATTGCCGGACAAACGCAGCAGCAACTGCTTTTCGAAGGCATTGCGAGCGTTGATGTCGTAGATCTTGTAACTGTCGAAGGAAAAATGTATCCAATGAAGTTTTAATTTTAATAATCAATTAAAAAATGGTTTTAAAATCATCTTTAATGGAGTGTTTTTATTAATTGATCTATTTTATAATATACCAACTTATTTCTAAAATTCAAAGGAGTGGCTTTTACTGTTGTAGATCTTGTAAGTGTCGAAATAAATATGTATCCATTAAAATTTTATTATTATTTTTGTGTAAACAAGTATGATGTATTTTATCCTATTTGGGGTAGTCTTATTAATGCTCTTTTTATTTATGGCAAACTTCTTTCAGAATTCATTCATAAATTTTATAGTTCTTTAAACTTTTGAATTAAAATTATAGGAGTCTTATATTTTGTATGCTGTTCTTTTGTATCTTTTAAAATTTTTGAGTTTCTTTTGTGGAATAAAGAAATACTTGATAATTATATTTGCAATCTAAATGTTGGATATTATTTTAATGCCTTACTATATAGTATCTCAAAGATTGTGTCTCTATCTTCAGATATTTATAAGATTTAGTTCTTAAAAGAGGGTGTCACCTTAAATTGAACTCGATTAAGTTTGCTAAAATGTGCTCAAATGATGGCTAATTGCCCGTGGAAGCACTCCTCCTCCGCCGCATCGCGATCACTCACCCATCGTAGTCGTTGGCCGCCAAGGCCACTCCGCTCAGCAGCAGCACCACAGCGAATAGTTTCAGCATTTTTCAGACCGCTCCGTTCCGTTTGGGCCCAGGGCTTCTAATGAGGCTCACAGCCAGGTATTCCGGCTTATATAGCCAACTGGCGAGTCACCGATCATTCATTCGTCCTCTTATCAGAGGAGAACTCTATCGAAAAAGAGCAGTTATCAGCTATCAATGGCAGATGGGCGATGTTTGATTTGATTCGATTTGTTGTTGTGTCTTCGCCGAGCAATGGGGCCGTTCTGGAGAAAATCTCTCAAAATTTATTGTCTGTGACAAGAGGCTGACAGGCATGTTCGTAGTAAAAGTTTCTTTATTCGACGTACTCATGACTCGGGTTTTACCTACTTTGTCTACTGACGTTAATGGTAGGTGAATAACATCAATGAATGATTGAATTCAATTTAAGTAAATATTTTAAATTTCATAAACTTGTAAGGAAAGAAAGATTTACTTAGTTATGTTAGGCTATTAGTTGTATTCCACAGTTTAATTTATGTAAAATAAATACTAAATAGTTGTACCATATTTTCTCCTAAACCTACAATTTAAATTAAACTTATGTTAGGAGCTATAAACATTAAACAAAATTTGTTCATTATCATAGGGACCATTTTTGTACCTTTCAGACGAAAAAAATAAATAACAAATGAATGAATAAATCTATTTTTACCGACAGACTGTTTACCAATGCGTTTAAATATGGAATGTGTTTATCTATAAGAAATCTTTAAAAAATAAGTGCGCTTATTTCAGACAGTCCTAAATCAGTCCCAAATATTTGTCATCGTCCACAGATATCTGCTATATTCGGACGACTCGTAAATTTGGTCTTCTGACTTTACGCAATCAACATTTGATTTATATTGTTCTTTTGGACTTAGACTCCGTCAATTCTTGGAGTACGCCAGTCGCAGTCTCTATCTCCCTATTTTTTTGGTATTTGAATTTGTTGGCAAAACGTTGCTTTATCAGTTTGTTTCGTGCACTGCACCAAGAAAAAGTTTTCAGTTTTAAACAATGAATGTACGCGGCCTGAAAAAAAAAAACAAAACGTAAACTGCACGCAAAAAAGTAGACAAAATCAAAAACAGACAAACTAAAAACTCTTCTGCCGCGCACACAAAATACATTTGAAAATTTATTGCATTTCATGAGTTTTTCCATATTTGTCTGCATTTGTAGGCAGAGTTTTGGTCACAAAACTTTCGGCTGCTGCCAAAAAACAAAACAACGACGAGGAAGTTGCTTACTTAAAACTGACAATGAGCGCATGGAAATGACAAAAAACACTGCGGAAACTGTTGGCTCGTAATTTTGAATGGCCCATTGGAAGCGACAGCCAAAAACCCCCTCCCTCTAAGCCACGTTCGCGAAATTTGTCCTATTCCCTAGGGATAACAGGGTATCTTAGACCACTAATTAAAGAGTAATCAATATAAATTTGATTGAAATGTGGTCTAAAAAGTTCGTATATTTAATAAATAGTTACTTAATTTTAATTAATACCTTTATTGTAAACTTTTATTAGTCATTTTATATCCTTTAGATCCAGAACATATTTACTTATTTAATAAAAATATTTTAAGGGAATAATTCAAGAATCAAAATTTAAAAAAAATATATAAATATAATATATATTTAATTATTATTATATACCTTAGTATTTAATAGTTATAAAATTGCTTACTATTTAATACTGTAGTCTAATATATAAATTGTTATATCAGGACCATATAAAGCGCATTAAGTATTCGACCTGTTGGCTGAAATTCCCTGTCCATATTGTATTTTTTGTGGACTGTGTGTGACTGCCCGTAAAAATTCTATACGAGTGAGTGTGTGATTGCTGGGCTGTATTTGTTTTCCTTTGTGTTCACTTTTTGGGTTTCAAAAAACTTTGGCCAAAGTCTTCCAGCTGGCTTTATTCGCCTGGACAAAGCGGCATTGTTTGTCACGCAGTCATTTCGCATTTAATGGGAAATTATGCCAAATTATTCACTATTTTAGGGAATGGGATTGATGACAGTCAGAGCTTTAAAGTCATTAATTGAAATTGATCGAGAGTATTTCGCGGGAAATTGCTTGTAAGTAGTTTTGGGAATTCATTAGTCTGTCATTTGCATTAAAAACTTTTGCACTGGCGGATCTTTAATTTTCATTTTGCATAAATTACGATGACTAAGTCTGGCATGAACTTGCGGCTTTTATTGCTCTATTAGAAAGGGGCAATTTTGGGGATGCGGTGGTGGTGGTGGTGTTGAAAGGCGTCGAGTGTCAAAAACTTGGCCACTAGAAGGGTGAAAGGAGAAAGCCAAAGGCTTGGGGGAGGATTTTAATTAAAATTCATCTTCACATTTAATCAAATCATGGCCACCCCTCGGCTTTGGCTGCCTCCGC